AACACATGAGCACCGACTCCATGTCGGCCATCCTTATGACGATCGTCTCGAAGCGCTCGTCGGAGCCGTTATTCTGTCGGACGCTATAAAACTTGATGTCTTTGAATGCCGTGAACTCAATGACAGATGGGTTGCACTCGTAGGCGCCGAACAGAACCCGTTTCGGAGTCAACTTTCCGCTCAATAGGCGCGACATTAGACAAGTTATGTCAGTGACCAGTGAACTACCACTTCCTAATCCCTGGCTCTGTATTTGCGATGAGTCAGCGCCTGTAGTCTTAACAGATTCTGTGCTCTTGAGAGGCAATTCCTGTTTATTGATGACACTGTTATATCTGGTGATGGCCTCCACCTCATCGATGGCAGTGATTTGTGTGCCGTTCGCCTTCATAGCGGACATGAATTGCGTGTATTTGATGGCATCGAGTGGTCGGTCGAGTGCGCACATGACATACCGGTTCTCATTAGTGAAGTCGTCGCTCAAACCCAACACATCCTTCACACGAGCGACGGAGTCCTTCCTCATGCGATACATAAGAATCGGAAACTCATGAGTATTACAATAATCCCAGTCATAGATGTCTGCGGAGGGGATCAGTAGGTGATAGGGGGCGGAGGGAGGGGTGGTGTCCGCGCCGTCAATATAGCGAAATGAGTTGAGTTTGAGAGACCCATTGGCCAGCAGTTGGAGGCAATCGATGGAGCTGTGAATGAATCCGAAGACAACTGAATGCGGTTTAACGCTAACTAAGACTTCGATGTCTTTCTGCCATTCATTGATCGCTGCATTCAAACCAATGGATTGCGAGATATAGTCCCCACTAATTGACTCATTATTCCTAAACATCCCTTTTTTTGCTGTATTTCTCGTTTCCTTAATGAATGGATTACCGGAAAATAGTCTCAAATTCTTGTGTCTAATGAGGGATCTAATGGACTAAATGATTGAATATAAATGAATGAATCAATTGAATCGTTAGTTGTATTGTAGTTATAGTTTCCCTTCAATTTGCGTTTGACTTGAGATTAGTTTTTTATGAACTGAATTTCCAACAAAAAATCATTTTGAACTTCAAATCCCATTGACTGTAACATTACTTTTTGCAAAAGTCTCGCGAGTTTTGCATTTCTAGACATTGTTTGCATTGCGTTAGCGTTGCGTTCAATACGAGTGACTGTGAGTGCATTGAATCACTGAATAATCGTTTGAATGTTTAGTCAACAGTTATAATCGGATTTGAGTTAATTTTCAATACTTTGTGTCCAACAGTGATGGATGTGAACCGCAACAAGAGGTCTGTCCAGTGGTTCACTTTAGCCAAAGCGTGTCTCAACAGCAAAGAGTACCTCAAATGCGTGAAGTATGTGACGAAAGCCATGCATTACAAGCGGGACGTCGACTACAATGTGATGAGAGCGCAGACCTATCTGGTGATGGTATCCCAGCCATCGATGTTTGCTTTGCATGATTTGGTCGCACAGATGGCTCACGAGGACTCCCTGTTGGCTAAAGAGCTGTTCCCATGCGATAAAAGAGTGGACCGATTGCTGAGAGACGCCCGAAAAGTGATGAAGACATCCGCCGATGACTCGCAGCCTATGGACAGTCCGTCGGCCGATAATTGTCTGCTTTTAGCGCAAGAGTTGACCACAAAAATAGTGGACGAGAAGTACGGACAGGCGTCGCCCGGTCTTCTCATTGAGTACTACTGTCAGCGATCAGTGATCTATGAAGTGATGGACACTCACGAGTCCCTCCGACTGTCCACTTCTGACTTCGCTAAATGTCTGCAGTTTTGTGACGAGAATATAAGTCGAGAATCGGTGACCAATAAGAGAAGGGGTGCCAAAGGAGTGTACCAACAGAGGGTCAATGCATCCGTTTCGCAGATATCGACGTCTTCGGTGGTCAGTACCATAGATGACACGACACCTCAAGATTGCGGCACAGATTGCGATGCGAACGGAACCGTTGAGACCAGCGATGACGAGATCTACTGTTCCGATGAAGATATTGAATGATTTCTTGACAGATAGTGTAATAATATATAATTTTTTGATTGAGTTTCAGATTTTATTGATATTTGTTTTCCTATTTAATTGGTATTAAAATGTAATCATATTCAGTAGTAATTGTTTTTTGCTAAGAACTCGAGTTTTTGACATTTTTTTCATTCACTTTTAAACTTTAAAAATAAAATCTACTCGACTTTGATATCTAAATAAGTGGAATAAGTGTATAGTTGTGTCGCAAAAGTTAAACATTTAACGTTGATATTGAAGTCCTGTCTCTCTATCTGACTGTCGGTATAATACAAGTATTTCAATAGCTGAGCGAAAACACTATATTTTCCAATAAATCACATCAAAAAGCAATGATTGAAAGCAAAAGCTGAGCTAAAAGTGACTTTAATATTAAAGTTCTGTGAAATATATGATTGCTTTTTGTTCAGACTATAAGAGAGATTGAAAGCGAAACATATTTTTGATGCGAAAAACTTATTGGCAATAATAATATTGTATATAAGAAAATATGATATTGCACAGTTAGAGTGAAAATATATACAGTATATCATATATTTTGCTATGATTTCTCTCAAAGTTGTGCTCAAATTAAATGAAATTCTTTTCACACAATTTTTTTCGCGTACTTTAAATTCAATTCTCATATCAAAACAGTTTTATATATTAAATGTTAAAACTTTTCCCTTGTTTTCATTGTGCGATAAAAGACATGTGAGAGAAAACATAATACAAAATCTATATTCGCAGCGAAAAACAACACAAAAAACTACTGAAGACCTACTGGTGATCAGAGCGTGTGTCGGTGCCATCGCTCTGGGATTTCATCGCCAACTATAAGCCCCCACCGAATGGAAACATTGATAAATACAAAAAAGTAGTGAAACTTTGGCTCTTCAATAAAGAAATTTATTTCAATTTAGAGCCAAATTGAGTCGAAATAAGTTTTACTCAATCAGTATGTGTTTTAAAATCCTTTTATTTCTCTTTTTATTTTGTATACTGCACTTGTTTTTCAATAAACACTATAAAAATATATATAATTTTATTACAAATAAAAATTGTTACACAAGAATCCGTATGAATGTATATGCTTTTATACATAGAAAATAAAATATTGATTTCAATGCATATATTATTCACAAATTAAATGCATTTTTAATGTTTTTGTCACAATTGATGAGAGAGAATAGAAAAGGAGAGGTAAGAGTGACAGGAAAGAGAGAGAGAGAGAGAGAGAGAGAGAGAGACTTGGAAACAAATGCAACTCTATTTTTGGCGTTAATTACAGACTTATATATAATTCATATATTATTCTATAAAAAGTAGAAATAATTTATTCATATGTAAAGGAAACAAAAAATATATAATATATATAAAAACTAATTACAAATGAGAATAAACTCAATAATAGCCACACAATACAGCTATTGGACTCTAAGGAACTCTAAATGTAATCAAAAAAATTGGTCCAAAAAGTATATAATGGAAAAAATTGGAGTTTTACTTATAGTAGACAAAACCACATAACATATACCATAATAGTGCGATCATTACGTTATAGGCTTTCCATTGTATGTGAGCCCAAGAATTAAAATACTTTCGCAAATATTAATAATCATTAAACACAGAGAATAAATAATATGAAAAACATGAAAAATAATTTAAACATTAAAATCGCTATTAATATGAAAATATATGCGGGACATTATTAATACTGTGTGCGCGCTACTAATGGATACTACATAAGCAAAAGCACCGTTAAGTTTATGTAAATTATGGTGTAATTTATATAATAATTAGAATTTTTTAAATGATTTACTCAATGAATGTTATGTCATATTTTTCGGAAATATTTAATAATTTATACTTTCGTTTCCCTCAAAAAATTATAATTAAAAATATTTCATAACATTTTCATTAACGGAGCAAATCCTGCGATTAAAATATTCCGTGTTTTTAAAGTATTTTTACAAATGAGAATAAACTCAATAATAGCCACACAATACAGCTATTGGACTCTAAGGAACTCTAAATGTAATCAAAAAAATTGGTCCAAAAAGTATATAATGGAAAAAATTGGAGTTTTACTTATAGTCGACAAAACCACATAACATATACCATAATAGTGCGATATATGCGATCATTACGTTATAGGCTTTCCATTGTATGTAAGCCCAAGAATGAAAATACTTTCGCAAATATTAATAATCATTAAACACAGAGAATAAATAATATGAAAAACACGAAAAATAATTTAAACATTAAAATCGCTATTAATATCAAAATATATGCGGGACATTATTAATACTGTGTGCGCTACTAATGGATACTACATAAGCAAAAGCACCGTTAAGTTTATGTAAATTATGGTGTAATTTATATAATAATTAGAATTTTTAAAATGATTTACTCAATGAATGTTATGTCATATTTTCGGAAATATTTAATAATTTATACTTTCGTTTCCCTCAAAAAATTATAATTAAAAATATTTCATAACATTTTCATTAACGGAGCAAATCCTGCGATTAAAATATTCCGTGTTTTTAAAGTATTTAGTGTTAGATATCGTATTAATTAGAAAATTCTTGCAAATTATATGCATTTGTTTTGTTTTGGAAGAACAGCTTATGGACTGCAAGTGCTTCTGGAGTTCGCACTCGGCTTTTGTAGTCATCATATTTATAAATATATTTTCATGTCTTTTAACTCGCATTTAGTCGCGAGTTATATGTCATATAATTTGGCAGCACTTATGACACGACGAGTAGTCGACAAAAATAATATCGTAATAATTCATATCCAATACTATTAGCGAACAATACGTTTGATTTGCTTTCACAACACATTTGTTTCCATAAATCAATAAATAAAAATACATTAAACGAAAAACTCCTTTCAATTCAGAGGAACACACAAAACATATATTTATCGGAAACAAGACATTAAAGTATTTATATATATATTTTTAAGCGCTAATCCCATAAACAGTTTTGCCTGAATTGCGAGTAGAATTGAAAGTCTCGACACTTTCGACACGTTTTAATGCCGCACCGGTAGGTCTGCAGTTTGGATGAGTTGGGGTCTTTGGTCTTGCAGTACTTGAGAGCGCACGGGTACCACGCGATGCACATCTGGATGTGACAGAGACAGGGCTCCCATTCCGTGTCGCTGACTATACAACTCTGGACGGGCTTTGCGGTGGGATTCTTGTGCACAGACGACGTGAGGGCTATTATGTCGCGATTCACGGCTGCACCAGACGTGTGACAAAATGCAAATCAATTCATAGGAGAGATAGAGAGAGAAAAATATATTGTAATAATGTTATACTGTATCGCATACACACTATCAGTGAGTAATATGTTTGTATTTATAGCGTTATTAACGGCAGTCGTCGAGATATAAACCATAAGAATGGTTATTGAGTTCATCGAAAGGCTATATAGAGTTAGGGTTTAGCCTCTAGTTTAGTGTAAACGACAGCACAAAACAATATGTTATGTTTCGACTAAAATAATATTTATATTAATAATTATGTACTTTATTATTAGGTTTGACTCTCTTTTCGGCTATAAATGGTAAGTGAAAGGGCTATAGGAATCGACTGCCTATTTATAAGACATATAGATATGTGATTATAACTTCTATACCATACCTCCAGTGTTGGCCCAAAATCGCAAATCGATTTCTCGAGTGAAGGTTTGGTTCGTGGCGTCTGAACACACTTTTGGCAAATGTTGTGATATTATGGAAGACTTGTCGAGAACTATATTGAGATCCATTTCGAAGAATTCCTTTCCTTTATCTTCTTCGGGCTGACGAATGGCTCCGGGATTTCGCTATTCAATGGAGTGAATACCGGCAGTGAATAACAGGACAAAAGTGACAACTTTTTTGCGCCAAACAATGCATTCTTACAATTGTTTATCAATATCTCACTTAACAATCAGTCAATTATTGGGTCCCCTTTTCGGAGACACAATTCCTAATCAAATGCTTCATTTGACAGACAATTGTTACAATAAATATGACAGACATATCGAGAACTACACAAATGCTACAAATGGATACGACATTGCAATCAAACATCATATGCGAGAAAGAGAGAGAGAGAGAGAGAGAGAGAGAGAGAGAGAGAATAGACGGCAAAATGAGTTTAACGCTAAGTAAACCAAAAAAATACACATAAAAAGCGAAATAAAGAAATGAAATAATAAAAGAGTGGATAAAAATATATGACTAAAGATATTGATTGAAAGATCGCCGCAAATAGAAATATTATATCGAATTGAGAAAAATGACACAAAATAACAGATAATGTATGGAAAGGGAGACAAGAAATACACAAACACTCAGTAAATGGCATTTTCCAGGCGAAGGGACATTAAGCCAAACAAATGCTTGATTTATGGCCAGAAAAAAGTCATTTAAAATTATAAACCAAAACGCAAGCTATCGATAAGATTGAGTAGAAATTTGTGTAAATTGTTTCATAAATTAAGTGAAACAGTGATAAACTTTTTGTAAGCGATATTTAATATGAACTAAAAATTGACAAAATAATTAAAATATGTCAAACCTGTCTCAGTTTAGACATGGCATCGCTGGATATGAATTCATTTCGGAGCAAATGTGTGACAAAACAGTATACTTTGTATTGGCTTTCGTTGAGATCCAGTTCCCCTAAACGGTATATCCGGAAGATCTGCACCTCCTTTAGGACATAACATATTGCGAGACATTAATCGACAGATAAATTAAAAACTCGTTACAAATAAGCCCTGAATTAAAGGCAAACTACGAGAAAAAACTGATGAATACAGAGGAATACAGAGGTATGAGGTATGCAATGATTATTAGATATATGAGTGCCTCTTGTGTCCAATCAATCAATTGGTGATCGCATTGATTGTCACCCAAAATGAAAATATGAGCGAAAATCGATTGATTGCCGCAAAAGACATACACATCGCGAAGAAAATCAATACTAATATCGATAGTAAGAGTGGCGGCGAAGATGTAATGAATTGAATACCGCTTTGAAATCAATGAATTGTGTGATGAGAGAGCCGTCCGACTCTAGGAAGTCCACTGTTATGACATCGTCGGTGGTGTTGGCGGTGATCACCTGCTGGTACACCTCTTCGCCGCCGTTCTTCACGTTGATTACGAGGTTGTCTTCGGGCGACACCGAGTCCGCCATGTGTTCAGCCAATGGGCGCCACACCAGCGATGATAGTATGCATAATAGGAGTGGTCTTAGTGTCCAAAGACACGGCTTGCGAGTGGTGTCTGCGGCCACACACCAAGACATCACTTCCCGATGACTAGCGATCAGTCAATCAGTGACTCAATGGTCGAGTCGATGGTGTGCTCATTGTCGACAAGTAGTAGATCCTTGGCGTGAGTTTCGTGGATAAGACACAGTTGTTGTTGCATTAGTAGGTGTGTTAAGACATGTTGTTTAGACACCGTGTGGTCACATAGTCTTCGGTGGTGATGATCATCACATGTGAATAAATGTGTAAAAAATAGTATAAAATATAATTAAAAATAAAAATATAAACAAAACATTTGCCAAAACATAGCAAACGAGTCACTCATACAATGCTTTGCAATGGCTTTCAAATGCAATGTGTGTTTGCATTGCACTGACAATCGACTCAACCATTTATGAGATACAGGCGCCGCTCGCTATTTGTAATATGTTTGTGAGTTTTGTTTTTATAATATTTTTGCTAATTATACAACTAATGACTGTGTTATTTATAAATTATATCAATTCAAACACTTTTGTTATTTATTTGGTTTAAAAGTCTGGTAATTAATGGTTGACATTATGTGTACTGAACTGCTGTTCAAAGTCTTCACTTCAATTATATCAATTCAATGGAGAATTTTACACTAAATACGATGGTATATATGAAAACATTGTTAACTTAAATTATATTGCCGAAAACGCCAATTTAGTGTATAAAATATGAAAATTAACAATATTTAAGTTTAAATTTGAGTTTTTCTAAATTTTATCTACATCATCGTATTCTGCGTTAATTTCACTTCCAAATTGATACAACACATGTCATGATTTATAATGTTAAGTTTTCCCGTTACAATTGGTCACTGCCTTCGGACCAGAAGTCTCAGGACAATATAAATTATATTTTTCAGATTCTCACTGAATCTCCTTTTATATCTAATCATAATACCCGTTGTGTCTGTAATTAAAAATTATGATTTTGCAATGTGACTATATTTAACGGAAAAATTAACATTATAATTTATAAATCTTGGCATGTATTCTATCAATTTGGTAGATAATTTAACACAGAATACGATAATGTAGATAATATTTAGAAAAACTCAAAATTGTTGAATTTATAACAATTAAAAGTATAAAATATGTGATTTAACCGCAAAAGCCGTTATATTAAATTCAATTGTTACAAAAGTATATATGGTAGCATAAATCACATTTTAAGAGGTAACTTAACTATATTCACATGTGCATATTTATAATGAAAGTTGACCCGATAAAAGTGGTCACTGCGGTCGAATCCGAAGTCACAGGACAATACAAGTTATATATTCGGACTCCTCGTCGAAAGTTATATATGAATCAAACACATCTTGATTTAAAATGAATTTAAATGTCAAAATAGTGAGTTATACATAAGTGTTATTATTGACAGACTGGTAATGCTGTATGTGATAACTTAGGTATTTCCCGGTTTTTGTACATTGTAATATACACTTCCCTTTTATCATTCAGAGACGAAGTGCAAACTTTCAAATGCAATGTGTGTTTGCATTGCACTGACAATCGACTCAACCATTTATGAGATACAGGCGCCGCTCGCTATTTGTAATATGTTTGTGGGTTTTGTTTTTATAATATTTTTTGCTAATTATACCTGATTACTGACACAATAAATATTTAATATAGTTAAGTTTGTGAAAACAATAAATAAACCAAATTTTCAGACCATTAATTACCAACTGTAATACACATGACTTGACGACAAGTTTCAGAAGTGAAGTTTGCTGTTTGCATTGCCTATGCGTTTAAGGCTCTCTAGTAAACGATTCATTCAATTTGTATTACTGTACAGAATATTCTGTGCGGCGTTTTGCAAATGTAATTTTAATATAAATATGTATATACTATGTTTGGGGACCAAAATAGATATAAACTTATACAAATTTTGAAAAATAACATAAAAACTCATTTTATATAAATACTCTTTTCTTTTTGTTTGATTTTTATATTTTTGTTTGTTTATTTGAATTATTATCAAAGGTTAGAGAATAATACAGTATAAGTTTGTATTTTATTTAAGCATACGTTAAGTGAATTACTTTTTGATTATAATATGCCATTCACTTTTAAGTTCAAATGTATATTTATTTTATGAATAGTCTTTTTGCATGTGACTTTAAATATTTATAGCTCTTATTGTAATTTAACTGAATCTCCATCGTGCTTAATATATTAATATTAATTTAGCTGGGAATAAAATCTTCATACAGCACATTTTATATGCACAAGTATTACCGGTTGTACACTGAATAAGGCACTACTATATTGTAAGGTAAATGTTATATCGATTGGCAAATAAGACTTTATTTAGTTTGAGATTTAATTATTTATTAGATTTTGAAGGATTACTACTTCTATTACAAAAGACAGAATTGAATAATAAATGAATTGATTATACATGTGATGCCATTGCTCTGAGAGGTTATGCATGAAAATTGTATTTAAATTAAATACAAATTCACGTAAAAAAAAAGTAGACGGAAATGTAGGGTAAAAGAAATTTATTATAAGTTATGATAAGATGTATGAAAAGAAAGTTTGAATGTTTTATCGCAGAGTCACTGGAAGGCAATGGATGTAAGAAAGAAATACTGGGAATAGGAATTGAGTCGAAAAAAACAAATTATTTGAATGACTCTTTCGACTGAATCGACATAAAAGAGATGATAGAAAAAAGTTTTCCTATCCTTTCATACTCTCGTGTTTTTTCTGCAAAACCATTAACTTTATAAGAAAAATGAAAAAAATATATATAATATTGTACTTACTTTTCTGCGAGAATTATAGTTACAGTAAAATTGATTCTCTATCCCAAACACACTGTTACATACGATTTGTGAGAATTTTATTATTTTTACGATTATTATTATTTTCAATAAATTTGTTTGAATTGAATACAATGATAGACAAATGTGTGTTTCGCGTATTATGCGCTCAACTTTTATGGACACTTACTATTAGAGTTTTACATCCGAAATGCCCATTATTATAATGAACTGAAAACTGATTAAATCCAACACACAGTTACAGTGTTTTGTTGGTGAATATATATTCATGAATCGAGAATTTGTTTTAAAAATAGTTTCAAACACATCGCAGCACTTGAATGTAAATCTTTGTTAACACAATAAAGACGATAAAACTCTTGAAACTAATGATTAAGTTTGCAACTAATGATAACTGCTTTATAGACAGACAGAGCTGTGTATATATATAAGAATTTCAAGAACTTTCAGCACAAGTGAATTGTCTGACAGAATATTCTCCTTATATAACAGATTTGTCGGACTCTCCAGTTCTGGCGCTAGTATTGAATTATACGTCGGCATCAGTGGTAGACATACAAGACGTACAGTTAGAGTACACACAACACTCTCTCCTCTCACTCAGTCGTATGGTTTGTAGTCATTGCCTCTCAACTCATCTCATGGTATATAAAACATACGATCAATAATTGTGTGGAACTACTAGTGATGTCTTTTAGTTAGTTTAGTAGTTTTGAGTGAGACATGGGTTCCTGCGCACAGAAATGCCATCTCTCTCTCTCTCTCTGTCTCTCTCTCTCTCTCTCTCTCTCTCTCTCCATCAGCAGCTCTGTTACTAGTATTTTTGGGCCGAACGGTTCACTTCAATAGATTTATGTCCTTATTCTTAAAGATGAAGAACTTTATTCTTCAATGTCTTGAAATCCATTTATTGATAACATTTTTATTTATATTCACTATATACTGTACTACTTCACTGACGTTATAATGTTACCGTAGTTTATATAGAATTTCATTTGTTATAAAAGAAAAATAATAATAAAAAATACTTTTCTACAGCAAAGGATTGAGAGAGGCTTTAGAAATGAAAATAAATATATACTGTATATAAAGATAAGGTTTTGAGAACAAAATACGGGAGGAATTATAGCCAACTTTTCTCTCATATCATAATAATAAATATATTGATGGCAAATATTTTAGCCGTAATTCACATTTTCACGAGTAGTCCACACCAGAGTTGACAACAAGAATTTCCACAAATATTTGATTAGTGAGAGTGTTTAGAGAATACGGCAAAAATTGTTGCTTAAATATGAAATACAAATTTTTAAAAGTGAAATTCTTGTCGTCAACGCCTTTCCATAACTGGATATCAAAACCACTTTCTCTCTGGCAGTACTTAACTGTTTTCACAGCAAAAGTGGGGGTAGAAATTTGTGTCAAAACTTTGGGATCAAATCTTGCCTTTTTGCTATGTTATGATTAATAGCATCACAAGTTATGGCAGTATTTTTTGGGGTTTAAGTCTTTCTTTTTTATCAACGAATGGATGAAAAATAGAGAAAATATGTATTTCGGAAATTAAACCCATTTTTTGTCACTCATGGCTATGCAACGCCTTTAACGCCTCGTTATTTAACGTCAATTTAAATGACTTGTTATGAGTTTCTCTCGTTGACAAAAAAATTTCATTTATAATACAACTTATCTATAAATGCGAATAAATTGAATAACATATGCGTTAAAGTATTAATATATTTTTATGTGACATTCTTTCTAACCCTCAATTGCATGGCTATGTTATTATAAATTATAATATTCTGTGAGAATATTCTGTAATATTCTATATCTAAGAATGAATAGAATTTTTTTCAATTTATAATAAGTGTTCAGAGATTTAAAGAATTTTTCTTATATATAAGTTTTATACAGAATATTCTGTTTTGACGGTAGACTTAATTTAAAATATGTTGCATCGCATCATATCGTGTATGAGTTGTATAATATATTTTGTATGTATCCCTTAGCCTTAGATACAGTGTATGTATCATATAATAGAAAAAGTGCGGAAAAGTTTGCTTTGAATAGTGTTCGCAACACATGAAAGATTGAAAAATATTTTACTAAATTTCTTTTTATATATTCCGTACGAATTTTATACATAAAAATAAGCCATTAATCAAATGTTGCATATTTTATACGATTTCAATCGTGAATTACTCGCCAAAAAAGGTTTGTTTATTTAGTTTTTGTGCAAAAATGTTCGCCGTATGATTTTTATAATAAATGAGATGGATATATATTTTTATTTTAAGTAAATCTGTCTTAAAGTTTGGCAAACATTTTATGGCGAACACAAAGAATTAATTTATAAGAATCTATTTATAAAAATTGTTAATTTAAAACAAATATTAGTCTTTCAGCATATTTTAAGCTACTGTTTTAAAAACAAATACTTCATTATAATCCTTTCTATTTTATAATTTTTGAGTTTTAAAAATGCAATGAATCAATTATTGTTGAGGTCGTTATAATGGTGCAGGCGATTCAGTGTATCAGCATTTATGGTTAACTGAATTAATTTTCAATTGAAATACAAAAAAGTGATTTATTGCCAGTTAGTCAGTGATGTGTTGATTAGTAGTTTAGCATAAAAAAGAGATAATAATAAAAATCAAAAACAAAATACAGTATACAGTGAATGAAATGTAGTGAGAGAATCGCGAATATAATGGGAATTGTGTTGTTATTATATGGGAATAAAATTTATTTCTATTTACGAATAAAAGGAATACTAATATAAAGAGAAAATATTTTCTCGCGAAAAATATAAGCAGTTTTAAGCGAAAAATAAATCCATTGAATCCAAGACTAATGAGAGGGTCTTTCCATTCAATATAGCAAACGAATACATGAATCGGAATCTAATTTGAATGTCTTGAGAGTGTCTATTGATGTGTCAAAAGAATTTGTTATCTAATTTAATCTCGTTTTGCTTAACGCCACAGAATATTCTGCAGTATTATTGCATTCAAATGGTATTATGAGAGCAACAAAAACCATAGAATATTTTCGTCACATTATTCTCATTATATACGAGAAATAAAAAAGTTTTTTCGCCAAAGACTCGAAAGAAAAAGAGAGAAAAGAGGGAATAATTTCGTTCACATTTCATATAAGATATCATATATTATAAGTACAGTAGAAATCTCTATTCTTCTCTCTCTCTCTCTCTCTCTCTCCGCTCTAATAAATATTTTCGGATCAATATTTTGGAGTCGAGAGCAGCTGTTGTTCACCCATTTTTTTGTTTTGTTTTATTTTGTTGTGTGTTTTTTCGTCGGCTAGACTTTCCATTCATTCGGTGCCTGTGTTTGTGATAAATCACTGAATCAGTGAACGCCACCGCTTTCACAAACTCCTACACCTCTCTCATATGATATCACTTTTTAGGCTCATTAAGTAATCTATAGCTCCTCTGCCAATAAAGTTGCTCTCTCTTTCTCTCTCTCTCTCTCTCTCTCTCTCATTTGGAAATGCCTTTTAGTGCCGCATCCCTTCAGTGCAGTCTATTTCACTAAATCATTGGCTTCTTATGCTTTTGATTGCATTTTCCTTAGAGTTTTAGCTTTTCTTTCTATGACTGAAAAACTCTTTATAACGACTCGTTTTGGCCATTCTTTTCATTGATTACAGCATTCAATGGTTTCCTTTTTCTTTGCTTCCCTTTTCGATTCCATTGCCTTTCAGTCCCTTTCACTTACACTAATAAATGGGCAAAAAGTTGACCAACTTTTCCATTGTATATCTGTTTAAGATATCTATACGATAGTCGTACACAAGAAATAGTAGAGAGACTCGCAGTTCATTGAGTCAACTCTTCAATCAATTTAAAGATTAGATTTCAACACAAAAATCGGTCGCCTTTTGGATGCCGTGCTATTTGCTAATCGTTTTGCTAACACTTTTCCACTCGACTTAATTGAAATGAATGCCAAAATTGTCTACACATTCAATATTTGCTGTCATTATTGGCCGTCAAAGAATTTGCTATAAAATGATTATTCTTTTAGTGGAAAATAAAATAATAAATAAAAATGTTTGTATAGAAATTGGATGAAAGAATGTGCACAAGAAATATGTGTTATGTTATTGACACCGAAATTGAGTAGAGTTTTGTTTTTTAAGTCTTACAGAACATACAGAATATTCTGTTTATTCCCAGAATAAGAGACTGATTTATCACGAGGAATGTGTCCGATGAAAATATTTATTAGCAAATGATTGATTGGCTATAAATGCTTGACATTACTAACCATTTATCAAAAGATCATCGCTGCAAACATTATAATCATTGGAGATCTCAAAAGTTTGATAAATGATCTTACTTCTTTCTATTCTCTAATCGAATTGAAAAATATTTATCAAAGTTTTAAAACAATATCATTAGAAATAGGATTTTTATCAATAAATAGAAAGTTGTAGTTAGGACTCAATTCTCTGTGTCTAATCATTAACTAATGATCAAAAATAATGATTTATTTAATGATGGACTGAAGTCATCAATTAAAAATAAATATATAAATTGCAATTTAAAATTGAAAAACATATCAGTTTATAGTGGATTTTTATATAACACTGTAATTTTAATAAACCTTTACAAATACATGGCTAAATGTCAATACTATTTATCATTGTTAGAATTTAACAAAAACTTTAACACCAAATAAAAAATCTGAACTCAATGTTCAGTCTCTCTCTCTCTCTCTCTGATTTAAAATCGATTCCGATAAAACAATAAGAAATAAAAGTAATAAATTTTGTTCGCAATTGAAACAAAAAACAAATAAAATTTAGCGAAAATCTTTCACTTATTTAGTTTTATTATAGTTTCGACAAAAATAACCTGAAAATTGCAATGCATTTCAAATTTTTGCACAATTGTATTGTAATCGAGTTTATTCTCTCCGATTGAACACAAAAATTGCTTAAATAATGAAAGCGAGAGAGAGAGAGAGAGAGAGAGAGAGAGAGAGATTCTGTACTTCACGAATGAATTATAAATTTTGTAGTGAATGTTAAAAATTTTCAGAGGCGTTAGGAATATTGCAAATGTATGTCTCATATATTGCA